TAAGGGCCCGGCGCCGTTGCCTCAAGCCCGTATCCCAGCACTTTGGAGGCCGAGACACGGCGGATCGAGAGTCAGGATCGAGACCATCCTGGCTAACACGGTGAAACCCCGTTCTACTAAAAAATACAAAAAAAAAAAAAAACTAGCCGGGGAGATGGCGCGCCTGTAGTCCCACATACTCGGGAGGCTGAGGCAGGAGAATGGCGTAAACCCAGGAGGCGGAGCTTGCAGTGAGCTGAGATCCGGCCACCTGCACTCCAGGCTGGCGGACAGAGCGAGACTCCGTCTCAAAAAAAAAAAAAAAAAAAAAAGCCCATTAGGCCAGGCACGGTGGCTCAAGCCTGTAATCCCAGCACTCTGGGAAACTGAGTAGTGGATCAAATGGAATGATACTGGATGTCAACTTTTGTCTCTGGCTTCTTCCACTTAGCTCAGGGCTTTTCAGATTTATCTATGCTGTTTTTGCTTGTATTCATAGTTTATTCTTTTATCTTGTTGAATGGTATTTTATGTTAAGGATATGCCATAATTGATTATTCATTCTTCTGTTCATGGACATTTTAGTTTGTGCGTGTGTGTGTGTTTTAAAAACAAATTCTGGTGTTTGGGTTTTATAAATAAAACTGCTGAGCATGCAAGCGTATTTCTAGGACATATGTTTTTATTCTCATGGGGATATCCCTATAGGTAAGATTCCTAAGCTATATGGCAAGGTTATGCTACCTTTAAAGCTGCTACACTGTTTTCTGAAGTTGTTTTACTACTTTTGCAACTTTGTTGAAGAGATTGACAATAGATTGTTGTGTGAGTGTATTTCTGGGTTCTCTATTCCCTTCTGTTCATTTCTATGTCTGTCCTTTAGCTAATACTGTACCCTCTCAATTACTGTACCTTTATATGTCTTGAAGTCATAAAGATTTTCAGACTTATTCTTATTTATAAAATTGTTCTGGCAATTAGTCTAGGCCTTTTGTATTTCCATGTAACTTTTTAGAATACATTTGTAAATTTTTATTTAAAAGATTAGGTTTTCATCGGGATTGTCTCAACCTATAGAACAGTTAAAGGAAAACTGACAACTTAGAAGTATCAAGGCTCAGATTCAGGAACTTCTTGTGTCATTTATTTATGCCTTCTTTAATGTCTCTCAGGAATATTTTAAAGTTCTTGAACATATTTTGTTAAATTTATTTCTAAATATTTCATATTTTTATGCTATTGCGAAGTACTTTTTTTAACATGTATTTGCTAGCTATATACCAACTTAGTATAGAGACACCTACTTTTTATACACTGGCCTTTTTATCTTAGGACCTTGCTAAACTCAATTATTAGATCTAGTAGCTGTTTAGTAGGTAATTTAGAATTTCCAACATTATCAGGTCATATATAAAGACAGTTTGGGTTCTGCCTTTACAATAGTTCTTTTTTTTTTTTTTTTTTTTGAGACGGAGTCTCGCTGTGTCTCCCAGGCTGGAGTGCAGTGGCGTGATCTCAGCTCACTGCAAGCTCCGCCTCCCGGGTTCACGCCATTCTCCCGCCTCAGCCTCCCAAGTAGCTGAGACTACAGGCGCCCGCCACCTCGCCCGGCTAGTTTTTTGTATTTTTAGTAGAGACGGGGTTTCACCATGTTAGCCAGGACAGTCTCGATCTCCTGACCTCGTGATCCACCCGCCTCGGCCTCCCAAAGTGCTGGGATTACAGGCTTGAGCCACCGCGCCCGGCCTAGATTTTTTTTTTAATGGGAAGTGATGAATGTTGACGTATTTACATTATTCCTAATGTTGGGGAACATCAGCTTATCAAATATTTGATCACATATATATCAAATGTGCTGTTAGCTGTTTGTTTTTCATAGATGTGCTGTATCAGGTGGAATAAATAACCATCTTGTTCTAGTTTGCTGCGTGTATCATAACCTAGTTTTGAATTTTGTAAAATGCTTTTATTACATTTTGAGATTTTCATTTTACTCTGTTAACATAGATTAAGAAAGAGTTTGAATTGTTTGACCAAATTTGTATTCTTGATAAACCTCACCAGGTTATGATTTATTATTGTTTGTATATGGAGGGATTCAATTTGCTAAATGTCTTTTTGTTTTGTTTTAGCATGAGTGCAAGTTTATTTTAAAAGCCTTTAGAACAGGAAAGAAAGGCAAGTATGCTTGGAAGAGACCCAAGGGGGTGATTTGATGGGCAAGTGCCTCGATTTGCTAAAACTTTCTTAAGGCTCCGTGTCTTCATGTGGTTATTGGTCTATAGTTTTGTCTAATGTCATTGCGTGCTTTAGTGTCCTGTTAATGCTAACTTTCATGTAGTCCAGAATTGTTTGAACCTTTGTCTTTTTGGAAGAGTTTGTATACAATTGGTATTACTTCTTCATTTAATATTTCATAAAACTTCTTACATATTCTAGGGATGACCCTCAGCTGATGCCATCAAGAAAAACGAATCTCAGTCCTACAACCACAAAGAACTTAAATATGCTAACAGCTGAAATAAGCAAGAAACAGATTCTCCCTGAGACTTTAGAAAGGAACACAATCATGCCAACACTTTGATTTTAACCTAGTGAGACCTCTGTTATATTTACGACAATATATTTGTGTTGTTTAAACCATAAGTTTGTGGTGATTTGTCGGGATAGCAATAGAAAGCTAATACATCAACATTATTCTGTAAGCATTTATTTATTTTCCAATGCAGTATTTCCTCAAATCATGTTGTACCTTTTCTGCCACAACTTGAAAACAGCCTCTTCTCTAAGGAGTTCTGGTTCTTTTTATTAAAAAATTATATAAACCAGTAACTGGGTACTAAATATGCTCAAGCTACTGGAATGCCATGGCTTGCTAGGCTGTCTCAGTAAAGACAGGCAATATGTACACATTTATCTATACTTCAAATTCTTTATATGTAGTTAAACCTACAAATATTTCAGAAGTTGGGTATTTAAAAAGATTCTTAAGACTACAGTAGCATACTCACATAAAGCTTTTATTTATAGGCAAATATGTGGTATAGTAAGAATACACCACCAAATGCACAATGGATAAAATAACAAATGGATAAACTGGTCTTCATAAAATTAAGACAATCTGCTCTAGGGTAGATACTGTTAAGAACTGAAAACAAGGCCAAGCATGGTGGCTCATGCCTGTAATCCCAGCACTTTGGGAGGCTGAGGCAGGATGATCACTTGAGGCCAGGAGTTAGAGACTAGTCTGTGCAACATTGCACGACCTCATCTCTAAATTTTAAAAAAGAAAACAAAAGCCACGGACCGTGAGAAAACATTGGCAATGCTTATATCAAATAAGGGATTTGTCTCCAGAAATATTAAGAACTTGTAACCAACCAAATGTTTTAAAAAACAGGTAAAAAAATACCAACAGACATTTTACTAACGAAGATATATGACTGACAAGTAAGCACATTAAAAAAAATGCTCAAAACTGATTCATTGGAAAAATAACTACAATGAAATACTAGTGCACACTTAGTAAAATGGCTAAAATGAATGGCCTATGACTTCTATATATATAAATTGTCAGTAATGTGAACAAATGGAAAATCTAATATATTCCAGGAGGGAATATGAAATGCTAACCATTTAGAACACAATTTGGCAAGCTTTTAAAATTTCAAACATTTGGATCCACTTACAGAATAACTGAGTGAGGAACTTTACAGTCGTGTTACACAGCCAAAAGGGTGAAAATTATAAAAATGCAATTCAGTCTCTGGAAACGGTCACAAGGGTGTACGGCAAATAAATATTTATTAAAGATCTAACATTCATAAGAACAGCAAAAGTCAGTCACATCTGAACCAAGACCACTCCTTTCCTCCCCCAACTCCAAACTCAGCGAGATTAAAACTCCATTCGACTGGTGCAGCCAAGAATACAGGGCTCCCTCTCTCCGGAGCTCCAAGGCAGAGGGCTATCTTCTCAGGAAGGACAATCTGTCAGGAATTCTCATCCTGCCTCCAGTGTGCATATGTAGATGAATGATGTTCAATTGCCAGCTCCCTCATAAAGACCATCCTCAGAGTTTCTGTTTTAAGTGAGGTCATATTGATTCAGAGACAGTATATAACCTGCCACCCTAAGGCCTTTCTCCACCCTAAGGCCTTTCTCCTCTCTCTAAACTTTCTGGTGTTGAATAGGGTTAGGCCTTTGGCTGAAACCCTTTTCTATACTCACTACATTGTCCACTTTGCGAACTGTCCAGTGTTGAATGAGATTGGAGGTGTGACTAAGGGATTTCCATCTGTTATCTTCAGCACTTTTTTCCACTGTGAACTTTCTGGTGTTGAATGAGGTTGAAATGCTGGCTAAAGGATTTCACACAATCACTGCATTTCTCCAGTGTGGATCCTTCGATGTTTAAAAAGACTGGAATTGTGGCGAAAAAATTTCCCACATTCCCTGCACTCATAAGGCCTTGCTCCAGTGTGAACTCTCTGATGTTTAATGAGGCTGGAATTCTCTCTAAACAATCTCCCACATTCATCGCACTTAAAAGGCTTTTCTCCAATGTGAACTTTTCGATGTTGCATGAGGGTTGAGCTTTGGCTAAAAAGTTTCCCACATTCCCTGCACTCATAAGGCTTTGCTCCAGTGTGAACCCTCTGATGTCTAACAAGGGTGGAATTCTCTCTAAAAAATCTCCCACATTGATTGCACTTAAAAGGTTTTTCTCCAGTGTGAACTTTTCGATGTTGCATGAGGCTTGAACTTTGGCTAAAAAACTTCCCACATTCGCTGCACTCATAAGGCCTTTCTCCAGTGTGAACACGCCAATGTTTGATAAGGTTGGACTTGTGGCTATAGAATTTTCCACATTCACTGCACTTATAAGGTCTTTCTCCAGTGTGAACTCTCTGATGTTTCATGAGGCTGGAGTTGAAACTAAACAATTTTCCACATTCACTGCACTCATAAGGCCTTACTCCAGTGTGGATTTTGTGATGCTGAACAAGTGTGGAATTATGCCTGAAAGCTTTTCCACATTCACTGCATGTAAAAGGCTTTTCTCCAGTGTGAACTCTCTGGTGTTCAATGAGATGAGCATTACGGCTAAAGGATTTTCCACAGTCACTACACCCATAAGGCCTTTCTCCAGTGTGAACTATTTGGTGTATAAAAAGGTTGGACATATCTCTAAATAATTTCCCACATTCACTGCATTCATAAGGCTTTTTCCCAGTGTGTAGTCTCTGATGCTGAACAAGTAAATAGTTCTGACCAAAGACTTTCCCACATTCACTGCATTTGAAATGCCTTTTTCCACCATGAAAGGCCTCCCTACTTTTGGAGCTCCTATGTGACTTCTCTCCCGTGTGAGTCACCCGGTGCTTGAGAATAACTGAGCTGGTCGGGAGGTCCTTCCCAACCTCCCTGCTTTGCAAGGACTTCTCTGATAGTTGAACCTTGCAACTCCTCAAAACTGGGACCCTGCCCTCTTGTCTTTTTAAGGATTTCTCTCCACAGTGCTGCTTCTGGTGTTGCTGAACGTTTGAACTGCACAGTCCTACAGAAGCACTCTGCTCAGGAGCCTCCTTGGCCTCGGCTCCATGCCAACAACCTGAAAGAAGAGAAATGTTGATGAAGTAAACGTAGTCTTTGGTGTGAAGAGGCAGCAATCTCACAAATGTGTCTGACATACCCAGTAATTATTACCTGGGGCTGCTGGAAGAAATGAGGGGGGCTAGTTCTCGGCAGGGAAGGGCCTGCTATGCAGTGCTGAACCTGGCCAGCTCAAGGATTTGGGGAGGCCTCCTGAGCACCAAGGATGCAAGGATTGGGTATAGCACAGGGAGGAGAGGCAGAGTCCCCAACACAATCCTCTGCAAATGGCTTTCCATAGGACTTTGGCTGCTGGAGGCACAGGAACACGGCACAGAAGGTTATGTCCAGGTCCAGAGAAAATCAGCTGCAACCAAATAGCTGGTGCTCAAGGACTATGCAAGGATAAGCGCCCACCTCGCCACACATTCAGTGAAAGCCACTGCTGAAAGGTGCTGCTGAGGATTGGGTGAAACATGGAGGACAGAGAGGTGGGGAATGGACCCGGGTCAAATATCAGAATAGATATAAATGGGTGACTGAGGAAGAAAAGATAGAAATCAGCGATGACCCCTTGCCTTGGTATCAAAATATCTGCGCCCACTGCAAAGACTCCTAGTATGATATGAACCCATCCCCGAGTTCATACCTCCCTGAGCTCCACCCACCAAGTACCTTTTGGTAAGCCTGAAGTCACAACTTCCCAAGCAGGCATGAAGGGCTCCTCCCATGACTCCAGCTGGGTTATATCATGGGTCTTGGAAGATGCAAGTCCTAAGGAAAACAACAGGTGAGTGGCAGCACTGAGCCAGAATGACTTATCCCATCATGGACCACAGGAAAGAAAACAAAATAGTACAGAAAGAACCTTGGAGGAGGGTCTTACAGGAACAAACCTGTCAAACAGCAATCACATTGGTGACTCAATTGCTGGCACAGACAGACACCCAGGTATGTTGGCTAAGAGAAGGCAGGCAGAATGTAGCGGAATAGAATTACCACAGATCTGCACAGTGTGGCCAGGCCACAGAGAGGCCACCAGGGTTAAGACCCATCAAGCTGACTGAAAGACTCGTGACCCCCAAACCCTTTCCTACACAGCTCTGGGGCAGCTCGGGGAGAGAAGATGGTAGTATACGCAGCCCAGGCTGACTACAGTAGCTACTTCAAGATCCTGGAGAAGGAATGAGTGCCCACAATTCAGCTTTGGGAAGAATAGACCTGTCACTAGGAAAAGGAGGAAGAGCCAAGTCCAGCCCAGGATGCTGGGGTGGGGTGTGAGAAACTTACCCAGAGAGGCCAGAAGTGAAAAGTTCTCCAGCATCACATTGCGGCAGAGGAGCCTCTGAGTCTCATCAAGCAATCTCCATTCCTCCTGGGAGAAGTAGACAGCTACATCCTCAAAGGTCACATAGCCCTGCTAAGATGGAGAGAGTTGAGTTTATCTGTGGCCTCCTTACTGGGGAATTTAGGCATCCCCCTGAACATCCACCCCTGCTCACCCTCTTCCTCAATCCCCATCTCAGAGGAGAGACCCTGCCCCAGAACCACTGATGCCCCCTCTCTCCTCATGTTCCCACTGAGCAAGCACAGACAGGTAGGCAGATATAGTCCATTTCAGCTCTGGGTATGGTATGCAGAGTCCTACTCTTCTCTAGCCACACAACTCACCTTGGATCCCCCAGATTGTGTTTCCCAAATACAATTAAATTTGTGTCAGTATTCTCCCTGAAGCCCCCAATACAAGGTCCTAGGGACATCTGTTTACACTCACTAGAATGTGCACATAGTCTGTACCACATTCAGTGCCCCCTACACCACCTTATGTGCCTCCCCTAGTGTCACCATATTCTAGTCTACACATGGCATCCAGAGGGCACTTACCAAATGCAATCAGAACTCCATGCCATCCCAGACCTCCAAGGGCACTGACTGCCAGGGGCAGCCCTCAGTCCCACTTTGAAGGCCTCCCTACCTGGCTCTTTTTCTTGCTTCATCTTCAGCTACTTGGAATTGCACGCATATCTGGACACCTCAGCTGGGCTCCTTATTCAACTACTTCAGGTCTGCCTTATACCTGCTGATGCTTCCGCCAGACATAATGGAGATCTAAGGTTGCCTAAGCATTCCCAGTTCAACCTTACCTACAGGTATTTTCTAATGTTGATCACTAAACCTTCTAAACCTCCTGTCACTGGTTGCCAGAAATGAGAACCTCTCCATATAATATATAACCTGGGCTGGGCATGGTGGCTCACGCTTGTAATCCCTGCACTTTGGGAGGCTGAGGCAGGCGGATCACCTGAGGTCGAGAGTTTGAGACCAGCCTAACCAATGTGGAGAAACCTGTCTCTACCAAAAATACAAAATTAGCCTGTGTGGCGATGCATGCCTGTAATCCCAGCTACTCAGGAGGCTCAGACAGAAGAATGGCTTGAACCCGGAAGCCAGAGGTTGCAGTGAGCCGAGATCGTGCCTTTGCACTCCAGCCTGGGCAACAAGAGCAAAACTGTGTCTCAAAAGAAAATAATAATAATAATATGGTCTGGACTCAGGGCCCTAACTTTGTGTGTCTATCTTCCAGGGAACTCAATTGGAAGGATAGGGAGAATAGCAAGCCTCAAGACACCATAATTCTGAAGACCATGTAGGTAGGAGTTGAGCAGGGTGAGGACCTGAGACATCCTCCACATACCTCCTCATGGTATGTAAGTAACTCTGCAGTCACAAGAACCTATGGAAAATTAAGGCAATGAGAACCAGACAGTGACGTTGCCAAAGGATCATCCAAGCCGCCTCATCTAGCCTGGAGTCAGGTGTGCCTGAGTATCTACAATCTGGGCTTTGGTTCTTAGTGATGCCTCTTACCTGTTGTGTGCCCTTGGAAAAATGCTCAACTTCCCTGTGCCTTGGTGTTGCCATCTGCAACACGGCAATAATAATGGTATTCACTCAATAGGACTATTGTTTGTATCAAACTCATTCTTATGTGTCTAGGACTAAGTATCAACTCCTACTGTACACATAATTAATGCTTCTGTAAACATTTTCAGTGCAAATAAACTGGTAGGTTTTGAAAATATGGGTTTCTAGCTAGGCGCAGTGGCTCAAGCCTGTAATCCCAACACTTTGGGAGGTCGAGGTGGGTGTATCACCTAAGATCAGGAGTTTGAGACCAGCCTGGCTAACATGGCGAAACCTCGTCTCTACTAAAAACATAAAAATTAGCTGGGTGTGGTGGTGCATGCCTGTAATCCCAGCTACTCAGGAGGCAGAGGCAGGGGAATCTCTTGAACCTGGCAGGCAGAGGTTGCAGTGAGCAGAGACTGCACCATTGCAGTTTAGCCTGGGCAACAAAAGCGAAACTCTGTCTCAAAAAAAAAAGAAAAGAAAAGAAAATATGGGTTTCTTAAACTTACTTTTAAATTAAGAATGTGATACTTAGGGTGTTTTGATCAAATACTTTCCAGTATATTAAGTTTACAATCAATTATGAAGTGCTTACATCAGTTTAACTTAATAAATCCGTGTGGTTTTATTTGCCCCTGTGTGTATATGAACTATGATCAATTAGTGCTTAAATAAGTACGTACCTCACAAATTCACAAATTAATAAACTGGGACCTGGGTCTGAGAAACCTGAGCGGACACCATTCCTTTTGGCAACCTGGCTGCCTGCTATATACTCCCCTGAAGGCAATCCTGCTGAGAGCCCTTCTACTGGAGCAGTTGATCATCCCTCCTGTGCTGATGGCTAGGGAAACTTAGCCACCAAAGGGGCTGCTCCACCAGCCTGGCTGACCTTTCCTTTTCTTCATACGGACTGGACATGAGGAACTGCTGAGCCTAGAGTGGCAAACCTATATACTACCCAACACTGCAGTCTCCATCCAGTCCTGGGTCTTCATACTCTATAACCCTCCATTCCTGCAGGCACCAGACAGAACCACTTCAGTCCTACAGGGCCATCTCTCCCTTCTCTCACCTTAGGGCCCATCTGAAAGGAAACCTTAAGATTCTCCCTCCTAAATAGGAGTCCCACGCCTTACCCTAGTCCAGGCCTCTACCCACCACCTCTTGGATATCTCCAGCCCAGATCCCTCCCCAAACTTCCAGATGTGAGTGAGCAAGCTGCCCATGTAGACACGACACCTCCATTCTGGGTCATCTCAGGATCACCATGCCCAAAACCTACTCCCTGCACAGCCTTCCCAATCTCCATCCTTCCTGATATTCAGGAACAAACAAACAAAAATGCAAATAGAAATCCAGAATGGCTCTTCATTCCCTACTTTCTTTCATAGTCACATGTGATGCAGCAGGAATTCCTGTCTGTTCAGTTTTTGAAATCCATCCAAGATCTCATCACTTCCCCTCCTCTATGGCCCAGTCCCAGTAGATTCTCCACCAGTCTACTGAATTTACCTACTCACAGGTCTGTCCTCACCCGCCTCACCCCCACCCCACTGTGTTTTGCCTTGAGGGGACTTTGGCAAACTTTGAGATACAGATCGTGTCACTCTTCTGTCTCCAGCCCTCCGCGGCCACTGTGGTGCCCTCAGGATGAAGGGGCAGCTGCTCGGGCTGTCGCGCCACACGCGACTGGTCCCTTCCCAAGCTGCCTACTACGGACACCCGGAGGCCTCAGGTTCGGGACTCGCTGAGCGCGCCTCTCATCTTTGCGAGCCGGACCCCTTGCCCTCCATTCCCACCCCATCACACTGCGTGTCAGAAACGGGACCCCGCCCACGAACGCCCCACAGTTCTGCACCCGGGGACCTGAGCAGGCGGCCCTCACAGGGCTTTAGGATTCGGGGGAGGCCGGGAGGACGCGGCGCTCACCTGAGTCGGGTCCCTCAGCGCGGCCGCCGCCATCCAAGCCTGTGGGTAGAGCGGGTAGGGCGACCCTGGGCGCCGCCACCGAGCCTCAGACCCGCCTCTGAGCGGCGAGAAGAGAGCACGTCGCCACGGCCCCTTCCGGCGCTGGTCGCCTCAACCCACCACCAGCTTTCCGCAGGCTCAGTTCGCCTGAGAGTCGCGAACGTGAACGCCAAAGAGAGACGCCGGAAATCCCGCCCATTGCGCGTCGCACGCTCGAGCAGGCCTCTTTTTATTGGCCAAGGATCTCCGCCTCCCGGCGTGGCGCCTTTTGGACAATGTAGTTCCCATGGCTCCAAACTTGGAGGAAGTGGGCATAAATTCGGAGATAGAGATTGGAGATGACAGATAATGATGGAGATGGAGATGATGATGGAGATGGAGATGATGATGGAGATGGAGGTAACGGAATAGGAGATGGAGGAGAAATTAGGGTTGAGAACTTCTCTCGGACTCATCCTGAAGCTGTTGTTATTGGAGATGGGCCTGGATTTCAGTTTCCGGCAACTGATACTCCAATCTTTCCTTCTTTTGAAGGACTTTCAGAGGATCTTCAGAGCCACAATAAAGAGGTTTCTCTGGACAGAGCCACGTATACATGCCCAAATTTCCCTTGACAAAGGGACACCCAATATTAAAACTAATGGTGGCGAAGCAATGCCTGACGTATGATAATAAGAAAAGGCTCTGAATTCTGGAGGTAGGTGATGACAGAGTAGGGGAGCCCAAGGATTTACTTTCATCCTTTACCCCATGCGAATTTGTGCTCTTTCCTTCCTCAAGGACCCAACATTGGTGTACAGGCAGAACAGTAGGTGGCAAACCCATAAACCAACTCCCCCTCAATTTCTCTCCTTCATCCTTTTCTGCTCCATGTTCCCACTGCTCTTCCATTTCCAAATATAAAGCCAATTCCTCACAGGTAGGTAGAATGCTAGACTGTTGTTTACAACACACAACTATTGATAAAAAAAAATTATGTCAACCCTTAATTATGTGTTATCCCACTACATCCATTCCCATTGAATCTAGTTAAAAATTATTTTCTGTGTAAATGTATTTCCATTACATTTATTGTTTTTGGTTTCAAATAGTTTTATATCACACTTTCATAAAAGACATTGTGTTGTGTATAGAAATCTAGTTTGGTGGTTACTTCTTCTTTACAGAAAGTGTTCTTGTTGCCCTTTTCATTGCCATATGACATTTGATGAATTCTGTCTTTTCAGATACTTGTAAAACACTTAAAATATTGAATACATCTCTGTATATGGAGTATGACATACTATCTTGAACAAGAGTATTACTTGTTGGGTCTGATACAATCACTGCTGTATAAGTAGGAGAAATATTCCCTGAGGTAACCAGAGACAGAAGCATTATTCACTTACTTCAAGGCCACCTAACATCCCCACTCCATGTTCCACATGGTGGTGGTGTCTGAGTCTTTTCTTTCTGGTGCCTGACAGAAAATGCTGAGGCTCGCCAAACTAACTCTGGAGCTTCAGGCTACAAGCATTTGCAAACAATATTTGTTAACTTCCAGCTATAGAAATCTGGGTGACCTTAGTGTATGGTGTGTCCATTTTATTTTTTGATGAGCATTCTCTGCGTAAGGAAGCCTGAAATCATGTCTCTAAACATTTCTTTGATGTCACAGACTACGTTCACCAGAAATACAGAAATGGCTCCTTCAAGAGGATGCTAATCTCCGTCTGGGCCTTGGAGAACAAGGGACACCATTTCCAGGCTCCCCTGGTGGTCTTTTCTGGGCTTTTGACCTGGAAGTGACGCGAGACGCCGCTTACTAGTATTGGTGCCGTGGGAACTACATTACCCAGAAAACGTGGCGGCTCTGGGCCAATGAAAGCCCAGGAAATAGGCGTTTCCGTTGGTGAGGAAAACGTCAGGGCGGGACTTCCTCTACCATCCTCTGGTGGACATTTTGTTTGCTCTTCCATTAATCCACTGGTTTAGTGTCCGGAACGCAATGTCAGACCTGAGGTGACAGAAAAGGGAAAACGTGAGAGAGTGTCTTCTTCCCTGAAGAGAGGTGGGCCTGAGGCTCGACAGTGGCGCTGCCCGAGTGACCTAACCGCTGGACTGGGCCCTGGACGGCTGATCCCAGGTTCCTGCACTTGTCGCCACCCTTCCGTAGTCCACAGGCCTGATGGCGGCGGCTGAGCCGATGGGCCCGGCACAGGTGGGTGCTGCGTCTGCGAGTCTGCGCGCTGACCCCCATCTCTGACTCCGAAAGCTTCGAATAAACCGCTCCTCGGGTTACTGCAGCTCAGGCCCCTGAATCTAGAACAGTGGGAGCGCTCGTGCTTGGGACCCGTTTTGACAGCAAGAGTTGAAGGACGTTCCAGGCAGAGAGACCAGTGTATGCAAAGAGTCGGAGATGGTTCACAGCTGGAGCGCTGGGGAAAACTGGGCCTTTGGTGTCTGAAAGGATCAGAGTGCTTTATAAGTGATCGCACCTGGAATATCATCCTGAGCATCTGGGTCCCTATTCTGAGGGTAATGGGAGCCATGGAAAGTTCTGAACAGAGGAGAGCCAGAATTTCCGGGTTTAAAAAGTATTCCATAGACTGCTCATGGAGGGCAGACTCTTGTTGGAGTCTCTTGTTGGCCATGGGGGCAGATAATGAGCACTGTAACGAGGTAACACAGTTAAGAGGCATCCTTGAAGATGGAGGCACAGAGGGCAGACATTCAACTCCCAGGCACATTGTAACAGGGTAGGAATATGGGATGGGGTTGAGCCGTTGGGGTTCCCTCAAGATTGCTTGGCTCTCACAGTCTCCCTCTTCCCCACAGGTTCCCATGAACTCAGAAGTAATTATGGACCCTATACAGGTGAGGGGAGAATGTCCATGCTCTCACCGATCCCACCCCCACCCAACACGCTGTCCAGCATTGTGGTGTTATATAGAACACTCTCCTGCTACTCTCCAGTTTCTTGGGTCTGAGGACTCTGGAGAAGCCCCAAGCCCGGGGTCCTGACTCCGGGCCAGGGGTTTTATGGAGGGGTTTCCATTTCTGCCAACCATTGGAATAAGGTTGGAAGGTTGTTCCAGGCACAGGAACCAGCCTGTGCAAATACTTAGAGGTGAGACTGAGATGGGAGTTTTCAAGAAATTGCAGGTCTCTGTCATGTCTGGTGGGAACCAAGAGCAAAGGGGCGGGAATCATCCTGAAATGGCTTACAGATGATTAATTATGTAGATTGGGAGTTAAACGAGAATATTCATTTCACAGTGGTAGTGCATTTAGTAAGGCAGGAAAATGATGGTGGAGAGCCAGAGTTAAGATAACTGTGAGATAACTGTGATCCAAAGAGTGATGTACATATGGAAAGAAGTGTAGACTGATGACCTCTGGGCTTAAAGGAGAAAGGCAAGCCCATCTTTGGTTGTCTGGTAAGCATGATGTTAGTGACCCCAGAGGAATTTGCTTACAGAAGGGTGAGGCCCTGTATGCTAGGCACAGAGCTTAGAGGGTAACAACTTCTTCACCTGCCTGTGGTTGCTATGGGTAGACAGAGTGATCATTGGGACCATGAGGAGAGAGAAGACACCAATGACACCTGGTCCTGATATTTCTTGAGCTGAGAAGTTAGGTAGGAGGGTATACAGGAGGGAGATGTGTGGGGGCATGGATGGGGGTTCTTGGGAGAGATGCTGCTCATGGACTTGGCTCTCCCAATTGTGGCAGGGGCAGGTGAACTTTGAGGACGTGTTCGTGTACTTCTCCCAGGAGGAGTGGGTGCTCCTTGATGAGGCTCAGAGGCTCCTGTACCGTGATGTGATGCTGGAGAACTTTGCACTTATGGCCTCTCTGGGTAAGGCCGTCACATCCACCCCAGTGACTTGGACTGGGCCCTGCCCTTCCCCTTTTTTTCAGGGCATCCTTGTCCTTCCTACATCAGAGCCATGGACACTGCCTCATTTCTTAGTTCCTGGACTAAGGAACTGTGAACTGTGAGTGCTGGGCTTGGGCTGTGTGCACTCCTACCTCCTCCTTCTGAGCATTCCCAGCACTTGCTGTCTCAGAGCCTTGCAGGGATGGATTCAGGAGTTAAGCATTTTATTTTCAGCCCAGTGGGTCATATCCATCTTGTCCTTTCCCTGTCTGAATGCCTCTGTCTGTATCCATGACACCTCTGTGCCTGGGACTCTGCTCTTCCTTTAGCTGAGATTTCCTGTGGCCTGCCTATGCCAGGAATTGTAGGGACCATTATGGTCGCTACTTGCTAGGACCACTGCGCTATTCCTGCAAGACCCTACTCTGAGATTATTTTAATAATGTTTAGTTTTCTATTTAGGTTACCCAGACCAGTGCTGTTCTATCTTTCCCTTAGGACATACATCTTTCATGTCCCACATAGTTGCCTCACTGGTGATGGGTAGTGAGCCCTGGGTACCTGACTGGGTGGACATGACCCTACCTGTTGCCACAGAGACTCTAGGTGGGAGTGGCCCTGGTGAGTGGGAACTGGGGAAAAGTGTGATGTCAGGGCTGGGTTCATATTGTTCCATAGCTTCTTTGTGTCTACAGTTGTATTAGTGCTAAGGCCACTGGGCCGTACTTCATTTTTATCTACTTTCTCATTTATACACTTGCCTTTCATACTCTGGCCTTTGGCCTCTGGATGTTCCATACCTCTCCCTCCATGTCTCACCTGTTCCTCCCCATGGCTTGTTCTACAGTGCCTTCCAACATTGGCCTGTATTTAGTGTTTCATGAGATGTGTAGCCCAAATAGTCCTTAAACATCAACTACTGAGTAGCTCAGTAGATTTGATTTTCTTTGGTGTGGACCATAACCTTCTGCACCACTCTCACCTGTCCCCAGCAGCCAAGAAAATCTGATTGTGAATGACTTTGAGACTTGCCTCTTTTTCGTGCTGTACCCCACATCTTTGTCCTCTCCCAGTTGAGGCCTTCTCCATTCTATGACATTTAGATGCCAACTACTGTATAGTACACATTTGCTGAACTTGAGTTTGGACCCTTGTCCTAACAACAGTCCTATGACCTTGGTCTTAGTTGCATTAGACACATATTTGTAGTGAGGCTGCCTCTCTTCCACCTGTGTCAATTTGTACTTCACCAGCATTTCTCTGCTTTCAGGTTGTTGGCATGGAATGGAGGATGAAGAGATACCTTTTGAGCAGAGCTTTTCTATAGGAATGTCACAGATCAGGATTCCCAAGGGAGGTCCTTCTACTCAGAAGGCTTACCCCTGTGGGACATGTGGCCTGGTCTTAAAAGACATTTTGCACTTGGCTGAGCACCAGGAAACACACCCAGGGCAGAAACCGTACATGTGTGTGCTGTGTGGGAAACAGTTCTGGTTCAGTGCAAACCTTCACCAGCACCAGAAGCAGCACAGTGGAGAGAAACCCTTTAGAAGGGATAAGAGCAGGGCCTTTCTTGTGAACAACTGCACTGTCCAATCATCAGAGATGTCTTTTGTGACAGGGGAGGCTTGTAAGGACTTCCTAGCCAGTTCAAGCATTTTCCAGCACCATGCCCCTCACAATGAGTGGAAGCCACACAGCAACACCAAGTGCGAGGAGGCCTCTCACTGTGGAAAAAGGCATTACAAATGCAGCGAATGTGGGAAAACCTTCAGCCGCAAAGACTCACTCGTTCAACACCAGAGAGTCCACACTGGAGAAAGGCCTTATGAGTGTGGTGAATGTGGGAAAACCTTTAGCCGCAAACCCATACTTGCTCAGCACCAGAGAATCCACACTGGAGAAATGCCTTATGAGTGTGGCATATGTGGGAAAGTTTTTAATCATAGCTCTAACCTTATTGTACATCAAAGAGTACACACTGGAGCAAGGCCTTACAAGTGCAGTGAATGTGGGAAAGCCTATAGCCACAAATCTACACTTGTTCAGCATGAGAGTATCCATACTGGAGAAAGGCCGTATGAGTGCAGTGAATGTGGAAAATACTTTGGTCACAAATACAGACTCATTAAACATTGGAGTGTTCATACTGGAGCAAGGCCTTATGAGTGCATTGCATGTGGGAAGTTCTTTAGCCAAAGCTCTGACCTTATTGCACATCAAAGAGTTCATAATGGTGAAAAGCCTTATGTGTGCAGTGAGTGTGGAAAAGCCTTTAGCCACAAACATGTACTTGTTCAGCACCATAGAATTCACACTGGAGAAAGGCCATATAAGTGCAGTGAATGTGGGAAGGCCTTCAGGCAGAGGGCTTCCCTCATCCGCCACTGGAAAATTCACAGTGGAGAAAGGCCTTAGGATGGGAGATAGATAATTCCATTTCCTTGTTCAACATAATAACTGACACCAGAGAGAAGCTCCAAGAGTAGCCTTTATGTGTAGCCAGCAGCCAGAAGTAGAACTTGATACACTCACTCACCCTGGGGAGGTTCTTCTGAGTGCCAGCTATATGGGAAGCCTTCTGGAGGTATGCTGAATTTTCTAGACCCTTGCTGGAATGTTGTCAAGGCAGTGCCTCTGATAGAAGCTATCTGTCTTTGTGCTGGAAAAGTCCTGCTTTGTGCAAAAGTAACCCCAATGTGCTTCAAAAGACCTCTGTACTTCTCCCTTTCCTGGAGGGAATCATCAGTAGCCTGAGGCCATGAAGGATTCTCACTTTTTTCTGCCCCACAACTGGTTTAAGCATGAGCGTGACCCAGTTTTAGCCAGAAAGATGGGAGCTTTGTTCTGACCACTGGCAGAGGTTTCCCTTCATGGATATAGTTGATCTCACATGGCACTTGCAATGGATTTTTCCAGCCTCCAAGACACCTAAACTGAAATTGGCTGCCTCCTATTCTGGTTTTGCAACAAATGCCTTAATTTTTAGACTATCTTAAATCTTGGGGATTCTGTTCGCTTTGTGGGTTGGGTTGAGAACAGAATTGGGCTAAGCCAGTATGAAGGGATGAACAGCTTTTGTGAGAGCTCCAACTGTCTGTATCTCTGAGGTGACAGTAGAATGGCAAAGACTAGCTCTTATTCTAGTGTCAAGCTAAGTTACTTGACTGCTTAAGCTCTCCTAGGAAAGAATGCCAGTCTTTGCAGCCCTAATCTTTTGGTCTATATGTTAAGATTTTTTGTGTAATTGAGGTCACCCTAAGCAGTGGGCATTTGTTGTATAATCTCTAGTGCGTCTGGGAGCAACATGAATTAGGTCCCTTGTTCCCAGAGGATACTTATATTCCCAAGGCTTCTTGAGGAGAATTTGAACTCATGGGACATGCCAAGATCTCTTAAGTCTTTTTCAGTAAGCAGTTGGTGCTGGCTGTCCTCCAGAAGGCCCAGGTAGGAATCATAGTTGGTGCAGAGACCCAGATTAATAAGGGATTGAGAAAACTGCAGCAAACTATAGGGAATATGACCCTTCTAAAGGTGCATCCACATGTGTTTCCATTACTTTGGCTCCATTATGAGGGTTTACAGAAATACTCCCATACCTTTGTCTCTTATGGCTAAGGTTACTGTCCAGAAGTCAGTGTAAACATTTTTGCAATAAGCTGCACGTATTTATAGTGTACCATTTGATAAGTTTTGATACATGTTGGTACTTCTCAAACCAAAAGTTTCCTGATTCCTTTTATATTTTCTTCCTTTCTTTCACCCATCCCGAGGCAACCATTGATCTTTTGTCACTGTAGAATGGTTTGTATTTCCTACAGAGATGCAGTAATTTAATATGTATTCTAATGTTTTTGGCTTCTTAAACTCTGAAATTATGGTTCATGGTGGTGTTCTGTGTTTCATAGTTCATTCCTTTTCATTTGTACTTTGCTAAGAGTATTCCATTGTAGAGAAGTAGTTCCAAAGCAAGTGATGCAGGAGAGAACTCACACAAGAACAAAGCCATAGTATCTGTCATTACCTTAAACTGAAAGTGATGAGCCATTATTTCTGCTATATTTCATAAGTAACCCTAGCTAATCCTGGTTAAAAGTGGAAGAGAACTACACAAAGGTGAAAATAGGGATTTGTGGGGCATTTTCTTGGACTCTGGTGACCATAATCCTATGTGGTTTTTTTTTTTCTTTTTCTGTTTTAGTTGTTTAATGTGAATTACATTGACTAATTTTTTTAAATGTTAAGCCAACCTTGCATTTCTGGAATAATTCTCATTTGGTCATTATGTATTAGTCATTTAGTATATTGTTGAATGTGATTTGCTATTTTGTGTTTGTTTTTTTTTGTAACAAGTTTTGCCCCAGTGTTCATGAGTGATATTTGTCTCTAATTTTCTTTCCTGCTTACTTGCTTGCTTTTTTTTTGTTTCTAATTTTATATCTTGCCCAGGTTTGGCTTTGGTATCAGCATAATGCCAGCTTTTTATAGAGTAAGTTGGGAAGTATTCCTGCTCTTCAATTCTCTGGAAGAGTTTGTGAATAATTGGTATTATTTCTTCCTTAAATGTTTGGTAGAATTCACCAAGGAAGCTGTCTGGGTCTCGAGTTTGTTTTGTAGGAAAGTTTCTAACTACAAGTTTGAATTCTGTGGTAGACAGAGGGCTGTACAAGTTATATATACATCCATCTATCTATGTGTGTGTGTTGTCTGTCTGTCTCTCTGGGCCTGAAGTGTGTTTTGTAGGACAGCATCTAACTACAAGTTTGATTTCCATGGTAGATGGAGGGCTATACTAGTTATATATACATCTGTCTGTCTGTCCATCTGTCTCTCCATCCATCCATCTCTAGAGTGAGCTTTGATGGTTTGTGTCTCACGGAGTTTGTCTGTTTCATTTAAGTACTCAAATTTTTCAAAATATAATTTTCATACTTGTAGAATTTGTAGTGGTGCTACCTCTTCTATTCCTGATACTGGTAATGTCTGTATTTCTCTTTTAACCTTGATTGGTTTGGGTAGAGATTTATCAATTTTACAGTTTCATTGATCTTTAAAGTACTTGGTATTATTGAATTTTCTGTTTTCTGATTTTTTTTTTTTCCATTTTGACTTTTACTAATGCCTTCTGCTTTTATTGGATTTCATTTCTTTTGCTACTTTTTGACATGGAAGCTGAGGTCCTTCGTTTCAAACCTTTGGGTTTTTTCCCCCTAATATGGGGGGAAAATGTTAATGTTAAAAATCTAAGAACTGCTTTAATTACCTCCCATCAAGCTTGATGTGGTTTCATTTTTTTTTTGGGGGGGGCACAATGTCTCACTCTGTCACCCAGGTTGGAGTGCAGTGGCGCAATCTTGGCTGACTGCAAGCTGCTCCTCCCAGGTTCACGCCATTCTCCTGTCTCAGCCTCCCAAGTAGCTGGAACTACAGGTGCCTACCACCATGCCCGGCTAATTTTTTGTATTTTTAGTAGAGACGGGGTTTCACTGTGTTAGCCAGGGTGGTCTCGATCTCCTGACCTCGTGATCCATCTGCCTTGGCCTCCCAAAGTGCTGGGATTACAGGCGTGAGCCATTGTGCCCGGCCAATGTGGTTTCATTTTAGTTGAGTTTAGGATGTTTTCCAGTTAAAAAAATTCTTCTTGACACACGCTCTTTTTAAATGTATGTTAATTTCTAAATATTTGGGGATTTTGCTTATCTTTCTGGTAATTTCTGCAATAATTCCACTGTGGTCAGAGTACATTAAGACTTGAATTGTTTACAGTTATTGAGATTTGCTTTGTGGCCCAGAATATGGGCTATCTTGGTATGAGTTACATGTTCACTTGAAATGTATACTGTATTCTCGTTTGATGAAGGGGTTCTACAAGTGTTGATCAGGTAAAAATGGTTGATAGTATTATTTAAGTTTTTTATATCTTTATTGACATTCTGTGGTTTTGTTTTGGTTCTAGCAATTATTTTAAGAGGATTGTTGACATTTCTGAATATTAAATTGGATTTACTTCTCTGCAGTTCTGTCAGATTTTGCTTCACATATTTTGATATCTTTTTATTAGGTGAATAAATATTTCCTATGTTATGTCCACTTGATGTGTTGACCACTTTATCATTGTGATCCTCTTAATCTCTGGTAATATTCTTTCCTCTAAAATCTCCCTTGTCTGATACTGTTAACATGGTTTAATTTTGATTGGACACTGAATTTTAGGTACTGATTTTTTTTTTTTAAATTTCTACAGATATTCTTGATTTTTTTTTTTTTTTCTGTTACATGGTTAAGTTACTTGGAAACAATATGATCTTTTGGGGGGGTCTTGATTCTAAGCATTTCTCCATGAGACTATTGCAGCATACATTTTAAGACAAATTCCTCTCCCATTACTGAGACACAACCTTCCTATATTCTCTACCTAATGCTTCATGAATTATGAGGTTTTTTACTCAAGCTGGTTGGAATGAGAACTATCATGTTTTCTGTATAAGCCTTGGGAATTGCTTCCCGTATAATCCTTTCATGTGGGTCTTTTTTTTTTTTTTTTCTGAGACGGAGTCTCGCTTTGTCACCCAGCCTGGAGTGCAGTGGTGCGATCTTGGCTCACTGCAAGCTCCGCCTCCCGGGTTCCCGCCATTCTCCTGCCTCAGCCTCCCGAGTAGCTGGGACTACAGGCGCCCGCCACCTCGCCCGGCGGTTTTTCGTATTTTTTAGTACAGACGGGGTTTCACCGTGTTAGCCAGGATGGTTTCGATCTCCTGACCTCGTGATCCACCCGTCTCGGCCTCCCAAAGTGCTGGGATTACAGGCTTGAGCCACCGCGCCCGGCCTCATGTGGTTCTTTACCCATCGTCTGGTCTTTTACTATATGCAAACACAGATTATACTCAGCTGAATACTTGAGGATGGCCCTCTATATCTCTGAAGTTTTTTCTCTCGTGTACTCTGCTCCATAGACTCCAGCTACCTTGGCAAACCCAGACTCTTAGCTATGTCTCCTTAACACAGGATGACTTTTGGGCTCTGTCTGAACTCTCCATCTTTGTATTAGGGCCTCGGAATTAATTTTCACAGTAACCTTATTTAGTTTTTTCTTTTTTGAGAAAATCTATGAACCCATGTTTTTTCTTTCTGATATAGTGTAAGGTCTGTAAATTTTAATAATTTATTCAAGGTGTCTCCTTTATTTAATCAGAAAGAAAAAACATAAATCACATATTACAGATATGAGCAATGAAATATAGTATAATATTAGATAACCTTGAAACATATAATGGATAATGTGTGATTGTTTTAAACAATCCTTTCTCAGTAAGTTGAAACTCGGAAAACAAAAATCCATTGAAAGATACCAACTGACCAGGCTCACTCAAGAGATCTGAAAAATCCTCTACTAAAGATATTTAATACATATATCTATATCTGTATATCTATATATCTCTTAGAGAGAAAGAATAAGTCATATTCTAGTGAGAGTTGTTAGGATTTTTTTTTCTTTCTTTTTATTGAGACAGAGCCTCGCTCTGTTGCCAGGCTGGAGGGCAGTGGCGTTATCTCAGCTCACTGCAAACTCTGCCTCCTGGGTTCAAGCAATTCTCCTGCCTCATGATCCTGAGTAGCCGGGATTACAGGTGCACACCACCATGCCCAACTAATTTTTGTATTTTTAGTAGAGACAAGGTTTCACCGTGTTGGCCAGGATGGTCTTGATCTCTTGACCTCATCATCTGCCTGCCTCGGCCTCCCAAAGTGCTGGGATTACAGGCGTGAGCCACCGCACCCAGCCTCGAGATTTGCTAGGATTTTAAAGTTGGTTTAACAATAGAAAATCTATTAATCTATTATATTAAATACAAGCTGTGGTGTAATAATAAATATATCTGGATCTTTGTCCCAGGCTTAGTGCTACAAAAATCTTGTAATTCTTTGAGTGAGAGAAGTATATTTTTTACTAACGAAGTGATTCATTTTAGACTCCTAGAAAGGTTCAGAATGGGGGCTCTTCATCAGAAAGACCAACCATGTAATAAGAGGGTTGAAACTTTGAGCCAGATTGACCTTTGGGGAGAGGAAAGGAACTAGAGATTGAAGTCAGCCACGTGGTTGTGATTTAATCACAGCTACAAAATGAGATACCCCCTCCTTGTTCCTCCCTACCAACTTAGAACTCTTGACGCAGAGGCTTGGTGGAGTTTCCTGGTTGGTGACCATGATGTACCAGGAGGGTAATGTGCCTTGACTTTGTGGGGAGAAGGTGTGGAAACTTCACATCTAACCAATAACTAGAACATTTTTTAAAAATTCTCAAATGACCATCCATAGGTGAATGAGTAATTGCATTAATTTTCTAGGGCTGCCATAACAAAATACCACAGACTGGGTGGCTCAAACAACAGAAATTAATTTTCTAACAATTCTAAAGTCCAAGATTAAGATGCTGGCAGTGTTGGATTTCTGAGGCCACTCTCCTTGGCTTGCACATGGCTGCCCTCTTTGTCTCTTCACAAGGCCATCACTCTATGCATGTGTACCCCTGGTGTCTGTGTGTCTTAATTTCTTATAAGGGCACTGGTCAGATTAGGGTCCAACCTAATGGACTGACTTCAACTTAATTACCTCTTTAAAGTCCTACCTCCAAATACATCACATTTCGAGGTACTACGGGATTAGGATTTCAGCGTATAAATTTTGGGTATACACAATAATGTCCATGGCAGCAATCAATTGTAGCATCTCTATGAAGTGGAACACTATCCAGCAATATAAAAGGATGTCTGTACATAATATGGACGAATCTCAAAAGCCTTAAGCTCAGTGAAAGAAGCCAGATGCAGATGATTGCATGTAGTATCATTCAATTTATGTAAAAATCTAGAAAAAGAAAAATCAGAGTGGAGCAAGAAGGCCAAAGAGAAACCTTCATCAATTTTCTCCTAACAGGAACACCAGCTGAACAACTACTCATGCAAGAAAGCACATTCATAAGAACCAGAAAACTGGATGAGTTATCAGAGTACCTGATTTTAACATAATGTCAAGAAGAAAGGCATTGAAGTGGGTAGGAAAGGTCTTGCATTGCCCAAACCACCCCTTCCCCATCCCTTGGCAGACCAACATGCAAAGAAAAATCTGTGTGCTTATAGAAGAGAGCGTGAAGTGTGTGTGGGACTTTGCATTGGAACCGGTGCTGCCCAGGCATGGAAGAACACAACACGGCACAATTCTACTTGTGCCCATGGAGAGAGCATTTAGACCAGCCTGGGGCCAGAAGCAAATCCTCAACCCCCGTGAAAGGAACCTGAGTCTCAGCTGGCACCACCAACAGCTGACTGAAGTGGCCTGGGGCCCAGAATAAGTTTGAGTGGCAATTAGATCACAAGGACTGCAGTCCTTGGGCAAGCCCTGGTGCTGCAGTGGTCTCTAAGGCTGTGGACTTTAGGTGCATGTGACCCAGTATGACACCAGCTGTAGCAGCCAGGGGAGTGTGCCATACCCCTCCCCCAACTCCAGTCCTGTGCTGGTCGTAGAGTCCATGGGTTTAGATTAGCATTACTGTGATGCCAGCGTGATGAACACAGAGTCCCTGTCCCCTCTCCCCCAATTACAGGCAGCCTGGTATATATAGAGAGAGTTCTTATACTTGGGGGAATGAGAGAGAAGAGAGTGGGTTCTGGGAACCCAGAACATTTTCTTCTCTTTCCCACATGTATCTAGTCTGGGTATCTAGGAGTCTGCAAGATTTATTGCATACTTGGGATTATGGTACCCTCTAGTGCTGAAATGGCTGCAGTGACTACAGCTTAGGCAACTCAGCACTCAGTACCCTTTGAATTCTTGGAAGGCCCTCTGAAGAAGAACGGGTACAAGCAAAGCCAGACTGTGAAGACAGGAATAAATAAACCCTTCAGTGTTCAGTCATATACAAATATCCACAAGTATTGAGAACATTCAGGAAAATGTGATCTCATCAAATGGACTAAATAAGCTGCCCAGTGACCAACCCTGGAGTGATAGAGATCTATCAGACAGGGAATATCTTTCAGACAGGGAATTCAAAATATCTGTCTTGAAAAAGCTCAAAGAAAACATGAATTCAGAATGTTAGCAGAGAAATTTAACAAAGATTGAAATAATTACCAAAAAAAAAAAAAAAAAAGAAATCCTAGAGCTGAAAAAGACAATGGATGAACTGAAAAATACTTCGGAATATAACAACAGCATAATTGATTAAGCAGAAGAATTGTTAGTGGCCGGGCGCGGTGGCTCACGCCTGTAATCCCAGCACTTTGGGAGGCCGAGACGGGCGGATCATGAGGTCCGGAAATCGAGAACATCCTGGCTAACACGGTTGAACACTCCTTCCGACTTCTACTAAAAATATACAAAAAAAACCTAGCTGGGCGTAGTGGCGGACGCCTGTAGTCCCGAGCTACTCGGGAGGCTGAGCAGGCAGTAATGGCGTGAACCTGGAGGGTAGTTTGGCAGTGAGCCGATGATCCTGCGCCACGCACTCCAGCCTGGCGACTGAGCAAAGACTCCATTTGCAAAAAGAAGGAGGGAAGAAAAAAAAAAAGAATTTGTTAGCTTAAATCCAGGGCTATTGAAATAAGCCACAGAGCAGAAAAAAGAAAAGAACTGTGCTTAAAAGATACAGAAAAATAGCCAACAAAAGGGCAAGTCTAAGAGTGATTAAACAAGGGTGTAGAGAAAGAATGTAGGGAATAGACAAATTTAATTCAAAGAAATAATTATACTTCCAAATGTATCGTATATACATCACACACACCACACATTACAGAAAACAAAAAACACTATATATTATCCACACTATGCATATATAATGTATATATTGAAGAATATCCAGGTATACGAAAGTCAAAGAATGCCAACCAGATCAACAGCAAGACATGTAACGCAATCAAACTCTCAAAGGTCAAAGACGTACAAGAGGAAAAAGGAGCAAAGAAAAGAAAGAAACAACATTATAAACGGAACTCCATACATCTGGCAGGCAGTCTTCTCAGCAGAAATCCTTCGTAGGCCAGAAGAAGTGAGAAGACTTATTTAAAGTGCTGGAAGGAAACCATTTCAACCAAGAATATTCTAGTCATTCAAATATTATTCTTCCAACCATGAGAGAAATCCAGCTTTCCCCAAGGCAACAAAAGGCTGGGGAAATCATTCAATACCCAGGTCTGTCTTACAAGAAATAGTAATAGAGAGTTCCTATCAATCTGAAAGAAAGAATGCTAATGTGAAAAACAAGAAATCATCTGAAGGAATAAAACTTACCTGGCAAAATACCAGACAAATTGAGAATATGTAATACTTGTAGTTTGTGGTGGTGAACCCCCATATCTTTAGTATTAAGCTAAAAAAATGAATGAAGGGGCTGGCATGGTGGCTCACACCTGTAATCCCAGCACGTGGGAGGGGCCGAGGCAGGTGGATCACCGAGGTCAGGAGGATCGAGACCTATCCTGGCTAACACGGTGAAACCCGTCTGTACTACAAATAACAAAACATTAGACCAGGCGTGGGTGGCGGGAGCCCTGTATCCCAGTACTTGGGAGGGCTGCAGACAAAGGAGGAATGGCGTGAACTCCGGGAGGCGGAGATTTGCAGTGAGCCGGAGATCGGCACCACTGCACTCCAGGCACTGGGCGACAAGAGCCGAGACTCTGTTCTCAAAAAAAAAAAAAAAAAAAAAAAAAAAGGGCAAAAACAAAAAAGATGAAAATTATAAGCCTATGTTACAAACATGGATAAACCTTGAAGTGAAGACATTAAGGGAAATAAGCCTCAAAATAAGTCACAAAAGACTAAAACTTATCTGAGATATTTAGAGTAGTAAAATTCATACAGTAGTAGTTGTCAGGGGCTGGAGTAGGGAATGAGGAGGAGTGGTTTAAAGCAGCGGTCCCCAACCTTTTTGGCACCAGGGACTGGTTTCATGGAAGCCAATTTTTCCACGCATCAGGGACAGAGGAGGGGGCAGATAGTTTCAGGATACAACTGTTCCACCTCAGATCATCAGGCATTAGTTAGAGTCTCATAAGGAGCACACACATGCACAGTTCACAATAGGACTCATGCTCCCATGATAATCTAATGCTGCTGCTGATCTGACAGGAGGTGGAGCTCAGATGGTGATGCTGGCCCGGTTCCTAACAGGCCACAGACTGGTACCAGTTTGCAGCCTGGGGGTTGTGGGCCCCTGGTTTAAAGGGTATAATATTTTAGTTTCGTAAAGTTGAAAAAACTACTGGATATTAATTGACAACAATGTGAGTGACTTAACGCTACTGAACAGTATAGTTAAATATGGGTTAAGATGATAGATTTTAAGTTACCTATAATTTGCCACAATTTATTTTATTTATTTATTTTTTTTTTGAGAGAGTCTCACCCTGTCACCCAGGCTGGAATGCAATGGAACAATCTCAGCTCACTGCAACCTCTGCCTCCTGGATTCAAGTGATTCTCCCTGCCTCAGCCTCCTGAGTAGTTCCTGAGTAGCTCAGCCTCCTGAGGGATTACAGGCACCCACCACCATGCCCGGCTAATTTTTGTGTTTTTAGTAGAGATGGGTGCTTCCCCATGTTGGCCAGGCTGGTCTCAAACTCCTGACCTCAGGTGATCCGTCCACCTCTGCCTCCCAAAGTGCTGGGATTACAGGCGTGAGCCACATGCCTGACCATAAATGTTTTTAACATAGTTCCCAGCAGGAAATCCTCGCAGATTTCTGTCTGAACTCTTTCAACATTAGATTTACATATACTAATAGGTTCTTCCTCTGATGTGAACTTTTTCATGCTGAATGAGGTGACGATTTTGGTGACTTTCCTGCATTCACTGCCCTAAGCCCTTTCTCCAGTGTGAATTCTCTGATGTTTAATGAGGCTGGAATTGTATTTAAACACTTTGCTGCATTCACCACAGTCATGAGACCTTTCTCCAGTGTGAATTTTTTGGCACTGACCATTATTACATTTGTTGCTGAAGTCTTTTCCACATTCCCTTAACTTAAAAGGACTTTCTCCAGTGTGAGACTGCTGATGTGTAATAAGGCTCGATGTAATCCTAAACAATTCCCCACATTTATTGCACTCATGAGTCTTCTCCCCATTGCAAACTTTATGATGTTTAATGAATGTAGAGCAGTATCTAAGAAACTTCCCACAGTTGCTGCACTCATAAGGCTTTTCTCCCGTATGAACTCTCTGATGAATAATGAGTTTGTTGCTATCTCTAAAAAATTTCCCACATTCACTACACTCGTAAGGTCTTTCTCCAGTGTGAATTTTCTGATGTCTACTCAGTGTACAGCGATATCTAAAGAATTTCCCACATTTGCTGCATTTATAAGGCTTTTCTCCAGTGTGAATTCTCTGATGAATAACAAGTTTGTAGCTGTCCAAAAAGAATTTCCCACATTCGCTGCATTCATAAGGCCGTCCTCCAGTATGGATTTTCTGGTGACCATCGAGATAAGCCTGTGTAAGGAAGGCCTTCCCACATTCACTACACCCGTAAGGCCTTGGCCTGACGTCAGTCCTCTCGTGTTGAATGAGGTCAGACCTTTTTGAAAATGCTTCAGTGTGGATTTTCTGGTGCTGAACTAGGTGGGACTTTCTAACAAAGGCCTTCCCACATTGAGTGCACTCATAAGGCCGTTCTCCAGTGTGAATTTTCAGGTGCTGAACAACATTATGTTTGAGGCTAAAGGCTTTCCCACATTCATTACACTTACAAGGCTTTTTGCCAGTATGAACTCTCTGGTGCATACTGAGTGTGGAGTGGTGACTAAAGAATTTTCCACATATGCTGCATTCAAAAGGCCTTTCTCCTGTATGAACTCTCTGATGTCTACCAAGTGTGGAGCTGTCCACAAACAATTTCCCACATTTGCTACACTCGTAGTGCCTCTCCCCAGTGTGAACTTTCTGATGTCTAATGAGTTTAGAGTTATACATAAAACATTTCCCACACTTGCTGCATTCGTAGGGCTGTTCTCCAGTACGGATTTTCTGGTGACCAACCAGATGAGCCTGTGTAAGGAAAGCCTTCCCACACTGGGTGCATTCATGAGGTGTTGGTCTACTGCCAATCTCCTGATGTTCAATGGGGTCAGACCTTTTTGAAAGAAAGTCTTCAGTGTGAATTTTCTGGTGCTGAACTAGGTTGGACTTTCTAATAAAGGTCTTTCCATATTCAGTGCCCTCATAAGGCCTTTCTCCAGCATGATTTTGCTGATATTTAATAAGGTTGGAGTTGTACCTAAACAATTCCTCACATTCACTGAACTCATAAGGCCTCTCCCCATTATGGGTTTTTTGGTGCTCAAACAGCCTGTGTTGGTGGCAAAAGTCTTTCCCACCTTGGCTGGAGTTGAAATCATTCTGTTTACCTTGAAAGTTTTCCCCATCCTGAGTATCCCTGTAGAGCTTCCGCCCACTGTTCAAGACATGTTGCTGGAGAAGGTCTGAGCTGGCAGTAAAATCCCTGCCACCCTGTGTGCATGTGAAGTTCCTCTCTCCCCCGTGAGCACTGTAGTTCACAAATGAAGGCCTCCACTCATCACTTCTGGTGAGCTTCTCTCTAGCCTGCTCCTTTTGCTGCAGGTCATGCTCTGCTGCACATGTGTCCAGCCCTTGCTCAGGGTGTGTTCCGTCGTGCTCAGCCAGGTGCAGAACATCCTTCAGAAGTGAGCTACATGTCTTGCAGGGCTGGGCCTTCAGGGTGGACAAAGCTGGCTTTGGAGCTGTGACCTGTAACACTCTTACAGAAACACATTGCTTGGAAAGTACCTCCTCCTCCTTGGCTCCATGCCAACAACCTGTAAGAACAGAAATGCTGGTGAAGTGCATGTGAACTCTGGAGGGAGGAGGCAGCCCCATCACAAATGTCTGTGAGACACACCCACAAATGAGGGCACAGGATTGGTCACAGGCAAGGAAATAAGGCCAGTGAGAAGAAGGCCCACTGTTCCGAGGTGGGCCTGTCAAGTGTGTGTAGTGGGGGAACCCTGGTGGTAAGGACACAAGGGAGAAGTACCAAGCAGGGAGGGCAGGCGGGGTCTCCAACTCGCTTCTCTACAAATGGCTTTCAACGGGCCATGACTGTTGTGTCCAGATCCAGAGAGATCTGATTGTGTGAGAGCGAGTATTCATGGACTACTGAAGGATACATGCAGACCTCATAACACCTAAAGTACAGGTCATACATTAGACAGCACTGCAAAGGGAGTGGTGGAAGAGAATGGTGGAGAGATGAAGGCTGGATAGGAGGGGTCAGAGGTGGAAGCCAGGGGCTGGAAGTCAGAGTAAAAATAACAACAGGGAAGGAAAGGAAGAGTGAGGGGTGGCCAGTGGCCCTGCATCAAACAATAGTGGTCACAAGGTAAGTTCTGAATGTGATCTGAACCTAGCCTTGATATCACATCCTTTCCCAGCTTTCACCCACCAGGGCCAAGTCCTTCTGAGTGTCTCTTGCCATTAATAGAGGACTACCAACTCCGCCAGGCACCCAAAGACCTCCCCCTTGCTCAAGGTGAGCAACTATCTAGCTGCGGCATAAATCAAGCTAGGGGAAAGGCAGGGAAAGGGAGGGGACAGCATGTACACAGAGCAATAAACCCAGGACACGCTGCATTCTAAAGTTACCAGAACATACAGCAGAGAGTCCTGCAGAAATAACTTCACAACCCTCACAAGTGGTGACCAGGGAGGTACCTGAAATTCCTAGCACAGACACTGTCTCCAAGTATGGCAGCAAGGGGAACAGGGAAACCCTTGGATGGAGGTTTCATGCATCTGGACAGAGTAATCAAATCAGCGACAGGCACCACCATTAGGGTATCTTAAAGAAACCTGGGTTGGGCACGATGGCTCACGCCTGTAATCCCAGAACTTTGGGAGGCCGAGGCGGGCAGATCACCTGAGGTAGGGAGTTCAAGACCAGCCTGACCAACATGGAGAAACCCCATCTCTACTAAAAATACAAAATTAGCCGGGCGTGTTGGCGCATGCCTGTAATCCCAGCTACTCGGGAGGCTGAGGCAGGAGAATCGCTTGAACTTGGGAGGCAGAGGTTGTGGTGAGCCGAGATCATGACATTGCACTTCAGCCTGGGCAACAAGAGTGAAACTCCGTCTCAAAAAACCAAAAACCAAAAACCCCAAAAAAACCCATGAAGATTTCTGACATCCAAGCCTTATCGTGTAAAGTTTCAGAGCAACAGAAGCTGGGGCTGCCTAAGGGGAGGTAGTACAGTATATACAGCCCAGCTCTGGCTGCCTCATCACATTTGCCAGGAAACCAGGAGAGGACAGGACATAGCACCCACACTCTGGTGTGAGAAAGACAGAGTTGTCATGGAAAAGAGCAAAAAAACAGCACCCAGCACAAGACACCACAGTAGGTATGAAGCCCTTACCTACTGATGACAAAAGTGCAAAGTTCTCCAACATCACATTGCTGTGCAGGTGTCTCTGAGCATCATTAAGGATCCCCCATTCCTCCCGGGAGAAATATGGCCACATCCTCAAAGACCACATACACTCCTGCCAAAATTATGACACTTCAGTCTGTGAACAACTTCTTCTTCTGTGTTTCCTTAGATCTATATTTATCTACTTAAAATCTGAGAATTGGAGGGCCAAACTAACAGCCAATGTTTTTATATTTCCCTTGCAATCCAGATCCCATATGCTGAACCACTATCTAATGCTCATACATGATTATTTCTCCTATCCTAATCAACACAAGCCCTGTCACCACACAATAAAGGATAATCTCTAAGCCCTAAGGCTGCCAGACTTATGCAAACCACCGAATTTGAAGCTCCTCATCCCGCCTTGCATGCCTTTCCTGCCAAAACCCCAATATGGTCTCTGATGTATGCTTTCCCTTCAGTCATGCCTCTGCCTCCTGACCAAATCTAGCATTTCCTGTGGCCTAGTGCAGCATGGCATTCCCCCTGCACTAAGGAAATGAAAGTAATAAAAATTATTTCAATGCCATTAGCTTCTCTGTCATCACTCACTCTTTTCCAAAAATTAAAATCCAGTGGGCCAATCACTGATACACTTTCCTCTCCAGAATCTTCAGTGCTTCCCCAATACCCACACATATCTATCCCCCTGCTTAGCCTCCACCCATTTCCCAAGGAGGAAGAGACTCCACATCCTGGTAGCATCTGCACTTCTCTCACCCCCACTGCTACTGATTGCTGAGTCCAGCACAGCTCAGAGATGGGTGGGGAGAAAGCAAAAGCATCATCAAAGCCTAGCCCAGGGCGCCTATCTTCTTCTTCTTCTTTTTTTTTTTGAGAGGGAGTCTCGCTCTGTCGCCCAGGCTGGAGTGCAGTGGCTCACTGCAACCTCCCAGGTTCAAGCAATTCTCCTGTCTCAGCCTCCTGAGTAGCTGGGATTACAGGCACCTGCCACCACTCCTGGCTAATTTTTGTATTTTCAGTAGAGACGGGGTTTCACCATGTTGGGCAGGCTGGTCTCAAACTCCTGACCTCGTGATCTACCCACCTTGGTCTCCCAAAGTGCTGAGATTACAGACGTGAGCCACTGCGCCTGGCCAGCCCTACCTTCTTTTATCACCCCGTTTCCCTGGACACCCCGTGTCCAGATCTTGCCTCCCAGACACCCAAACTTAGACTCACTCTTCTCCCTTATGTGCCCATTGCCAGGGCTGGGGCCATGCATTCACGCTCCTCCTCACCTTCACATCTCGCTTTGGACAGTACATCTCTCATGTATCTAACTCCTCCACTCTTGCAATACTAACAGCAGCCCTGGCCCAACCAGGAGCATTTCCATGGCCTCTCAAGATGCCATTCTGTACATGGAGTCCTGCAGTGCACCAGAACCTATTTGCCTCTGGGCTGCCCAGAATGTAATGTTCCCTAGTGCCTGGGGCAGCACCAAGCCCTGTTCTGAAGGTCTCCCTTCCCAGTCCCGTTTCCTGGTTTAACCTCAGCCCCCCAAACCCAAATGACAACCTCACAGTTCTTGCATACCTCCTCTGAGTTCCAGATCTTGGCTGTCTCCCTCTTTTGCACTATACATGCTGTCCCATAAGCAGTCACAACCTTCTCTATCCCCCTAATCCTAATCCAAAGCCCAGATACACTGACCTCCCCAATGCTATCCCCACCCCAGGTCTAGCAATGCTCCTTGCTGATCGCATCTTCCCCTAAAGTAGTCTCACAGTTTGCATGAAACTACCCAGGCCCAAGCAAGACTCGCCACAAAACCCTGGTGAGTTTGCGGAGATGCCTCACCATCCACCTCATGACTCTCCCCTCAAAAGCCCTTCCTTATACTCCACAGGCCGCCCCCAACATAACACACAAACATACACACATCTTCAGTCGATCCACTCTCATCTGTCTTTGTGACACCCATCAACACCATCCAGGTGCCCAATGGAGACACCCAATCCTCAGTCTGTTCCTTCTCCTTCCTTCCCACTAACACCATTGCTTCCTAAGTCTGACCTAGTTTCACAACAGTTCAGCTATCATGTAGTGGATGTCTCCATCCTGAACACCTCCACTGAACTCCATTCCTGTGTGTACAACTGCCAGCCTGGCACCTCCACTCAAAGTCTCTGAAATATTTTTTGTGTATTTTTGTTTTTGTTTTGGCTTTGATTTTTGTTTTTGTTTTGGCTTGGTTTTTTGGAGACAGGGTCTTACTCTGTTGCTCAGGCTGGAGTGCAGGGCACAATCATGGCTCATCGCAGCCTTTACTTCCCAGGCTCAGGCGACCCTCCTGCCTCAGCATGCCGATTAGCTGAGACTACAGACAGACGCCACCACACCCAGCTATTTATTATTATTTGTAGAGACAGGGTCTCCCTATGTTGCCCAGGCTGACCTCAAGTGATCTTCCACCTCTGCCTCCCAAAGTGCTGGGATTACAGGTGTGATCCACCATGCCTGGCAACTGGAACATTTTTTACTTGGCCAAAACTTGGTTCCTCATATGCTCTACTACATAAACACTCCCCCTACTACAGAACTTACTACATCTTAGTTGCTGGAACATCCATCCTTCCAAACAAGGCCAAAACTGTGGGGCCATTCCTGACCCCCTCTGCCATCTCAGCTCCCAAGCTTCCTTGCTCTCTACATTATAAAATACAGGCAGCTCTAGATCAAACACATACAGAAGCCCCCCACTCCTCCTACTTCCACCACCGCCACTCTCTTTCAGTCACCGACAACCTCCACCTGGACTGTTGCTGGACCGAACACCCAGGTATCTGTTGGCTCCATCCTCACCCCTACATGGTCTTCCATTCTGCAGGCAGAGGGAGCCACTAAAATCTGGGTCAGGTCACCTCTTTTTCCCCCCGCTCAAACTTTCCCCAGTTACCATCACCCTCAGATGAAAAGCCCAGAACCTTAGACTGCTGTTCCATGCTGATCCCTGCATGCCCCAACCTCCTACCCTGCTGCCATACTCTATCACGACCAGAAGGAACATGAATTTTCTTTTTTTTTTTTTTTTTTTTTTTTTGAGACGGAGTCTCGCTGTGTCTCCCAGGCTGGAGTGCAGTGGCGTGATCTCGGCTCACTGCAAGCTCCGCCTCCCGGGTTCACGCCATTCTCCCGCCTCAGCCTCCCGAGTAGCTGGGACTACAGGCGCCTGCCACCTCGCCTGGCTAGTTTTTTGTATTTTTAGTAGAGACGGGGTTTCACCATGTTAGCCAGGATAGTCTCGATCTCCTGACCTCGTGATCCACCCGCCTCGGCCTCCCAAAGTGCTGGGATTACAGGCTTGAGCCACCGCGCCCGGCCGGAACATGAATTTTCAGTTCACTAAACATCCCAGCTAAGTCTCACCAGTAAGCATTTGAACTTTCTATATCCTGTGCCTGAATGCCCTGCCACATCTTAGACCATTAGTTGTTGGAACCAGGACCACTCTATAACCAGGGGCTGAGTTCTGACCTCTGGTTGTGGTGGAACCACAGTCTTCAGACCCAAGGAAGGGAAAAACATGAAGTTTCAGGACACCACCTTTCCCTATATCAGCATGCCTAAAATACTGGAGAGATAAGTGGTGGGGGGCTGGGGGAGAGAGCCTGAGAAACCATTGACTTACCTGTGCAGGGTCCTTATGCATTGCTGCCACTGCCAGGGACCCTGTGGGAAGATGTGACAGACTTGTACAGTTACTACTTGAGACCATCATTACGAGACTGAATGAAGGGGGACGAATGTAGAAATGAAAACTTAAGACAAAAGAAACTGTTTTAAAGAAGGCGAACCGAGGAAGAAGAGAGCTCCCTGCTTCTAGTGAGCAAAGGCAGCCCCTGAGCTTCCACAGCCCTCCGCATTTATTGGATAGAATGAAAAGGAGGAGGAAGTGACTGGTCAGCCGCTTAATTGATCACAAGTTCACATTGTTAACAGGCTTCAATTATGCCTAATCACAAGAAATTCACTTGTGCCTGGGTTGTGACTATCTTCAGCATTCCTTCTGGGGGGCAGACGCAGTTTGTCAGTTTGCCAACATCCTGCTTTCATGAGAAACAGTTTGCTGTTTACTCATATAGCCTCCAGTGGTATACTCAGTTGATCACAACCCTCATTCTTTTTTTTTTTTTTGAGACGGAGTCTCGCTCTGTCACCCAGGCTGGAGTGCAGTGGCCGGATCTCAGCTCACTGCAAGCTCCGCCTCCTGGGTTTACGCCATTCTCCTGCCTCAGCCTCTCGAGTAGCTGGGACTACAGGCGCCTGCCACCTCGCCCGGCTAAGTTTTTGTATTTTTAGTAGAGACGGGGTTTCACCGTGTTAGCCAGGATGGTCTCGATCTCCTGACCTCGTGATCCGCCCGTCTCGGCCTCCCAAAGTGCTGGGATTACAGGCTTGAGCCACCGCGCCCGGCCACAACCCTCATTCTTTTGGCCTGTGACAAGGAAGAGGCAAGCCATGAGTATCAGGACAGTATTGCAGCATCCTACAGGCTGAGCTGTACAACCATCTCTGCCCTGTACTGGAGCAAAGCAATCTGAAGTTACAGCAAGTCCTAAGTTCAGTGCTGCCTCTTAGCAGCTCTGTGTCTTTGGACAAGGACTGAACCTCTCTAAACCTCAGTGCCCTTATGTGTAAAATGGAGATTAAAAGGGTTCCCACTTCATAGGGCTCATATTGACAAGAAGCATAAGTAGTACACACTATGTATAAGCATTACTTTCTATAGGATTAATGGTTTTGTACATGTTTTCAGCACAAATGAAGTAGAAGGGTTTCGAAAATTTGAGTATTTTTCCCAATTTTTTTTTTTTTCTTGAGACAGGGCCTTGCCCTGTTGCCCAGGCTACAGTGCAATGACACAATCTCGGCTCACTGGTCCGCCTCCCAGGTTCAAACGATTCTCCTGCCTCAGCCTCCCGCAGCTGGGATTATAGGCTCCCACCACCACGCCCGGGTAATTTTTGTATTTTTAGTAGAGACGGGGTTTCATCATGTTGGCCAGGCTGGTCTCAAACTCCTGTCCTCGTGATCTGCCCGCCTTCGTTTCCCAAAGTGCTGGGATTACAGGCGTGAGACACTGTGCCCAGCCCCCACTTCTTAATGTTTTAAGGAAATGTGATATATAAAAAGATTTGTACTATAAGCAGAGTTACAGGTAAATTAACATTCTAACAATAAATATTTTACTACGTTTAAATTATTGATTACATCTATTTCCAATTGCCTATGTGTACATATTTAGAAGGATATTGGCTGAGAAACAAACAAACAAAAATAGCCCAGAGCTGTCTGACCTACACAAAATGTATCAGGCTCAGAGAGACAAGAATATGAGATGTCAGTCACATCCCTGAACCGATGCCTGAGAACAACTGTTTAAAGACATTTTGTTCCTGACTAGCTGTCTCACCTATTATCTTCGTGTTTCTGTAATCTATAATATAAAGAACAACGTATAGCCAATAAAAACTTACGTTACTTTAACATTAAGTTACTGGTAAACAACTCAGAAACTGCTTCTTTTTTCCTTAAAAAAAAAAGTCACTGCTGCTAATTGAAGTGTCTATTCAGGACAACTTGAATCTAGGGTCTCAGATGGCTATTATCAACATGTGAGCTCTCTTTAAACTAGATTCTGACTTGCTTGGTTATTTAAGATTGATACAGTTCATTAGTGTTTAAGTCAATTACCTGTTTTTACATCCCTAAGTTAATGAGTTGCAGGATGGGGCTGAGCAATCAATCAGTTACTGGTCCGTTCAGCAAACAGGTCTGCCTGCCATATAATTCAGTAAAGGGAGCTTGCTGGAGGCCCTTAACTGTGGTGGAGGATATGAGAAAGCCCTGCCCAGTTTTGGACCCACCTGC